ATAATCCCCTCTGTTTCAGCCCTGTTTCAAAAGTGCTGATTCTCTGTCTGTTACTTTAGGAGCCACTCCCCACGCCCCTCTGAGAGATATTTGGTTAAAAATAACACTATGGTGCTCTAGGTGGAGATTCAGGTGATAAGGTGTGGGGAGTGCATTTTGTAATGCACTCATGTGTCACAAACGTCATAGGTCTCTTTCAACCCCAGAAGCCACAAGTCTCAGTGCCAATTTCTTTAGACAAGCAAAGGATTCAAATAAAAAACAAAAGCCTTATTTCCCTTTCAGTGAGGTTTTAATGAATAACCAACCTGTAGCAGCTCTTTCAAAACATCACATCGGAAAACAAAGAGGCCAACAGTGCCCACTGAAAGTGAACATGAAGCAGCTCACTAAGTGGAGTCTTTTAAGACATTCACCATTCATTTTGAGTTATTTGTGATTTCGACTATATTTCAAACATCAACTGACAATGCATTCCGTAGACTTCACTAGTCTTGACCTTATAGTTAAGCCCAAATCCTAACTCTGCCTTAATTCAAGTATCAGTTTTTGTTTGTTTTTATAAATAAACCTTAAGTCAGACACTTAACACGTTTTGACTGACTTTCACATCCTTCTGAATTACAAAATACGTTTTACTGACAGATAATAGTAAGTTGATTATTAACACTGGAGTTTCCAAACCAAGTGTAAACAAACACAAACTTGCATTCTCATACAACTAATCCGTAGGGGCTGAAGTGGTTACAGGAAAATACAGTCAGGCGGTTTTCATAGCCCAATAGTAAAAGAAAGTCACATGTTAGGATTGGAGGACCATCTTAAATGACGAATATTGTAAGTTAAAAAAAAATCTAAATTTCCTATAAAACATTGAATGAAATAGAATAACCAACAAGAAGAAAAAGTCCAATAATTGACCCAAATCATTGGCGATAAAATGTCAATGTATAGAATATTACCTATATGATCTAACAGTAATACATTTTCTGAAACAAATAACAAAATAAATGAGAGTATAATCAGCAGGATTTATGCAGGAAAAAATTTTATTTGGTGATTCTTGGAACCAAGTGAATGACAGGACAATACATAGTGGAAAATAAATAGTCTAATATCATTAATAAATAAATAAATAAATAGTAAAAATTCTTTAAATACACTTTTTAAAAAAGTACTTTAACACACCATATTGATGTAAATAAGTTACATTACTTCATAATAATAATAATATATGTGTACTGTAAACAGTCATAAAGTAGACTGAAGTGTTTTCTAGATTGTTTGAATCATTTGACTGTGACTGTAGTTTATGTTATTTGTGTTTAGAGTGGTTTTGTTTAGCTTTTTTGAAACTCCTGATCTATTAGAGTTCATTTTTCTCATTTAGTCTGTTCACCAGAGTTCATGTATGAAAGGGCTCTGTTGATTGTGATGCTGCGGAGACGGAAGCCCTTCAGCACTTTGCAGAGGTTCAGCTTTTTATCGAAGCTGCTTGAATTCTCTGAGGCATCCTTAAAGAGACACAGAAGAATTAGGAAATAATTAATAACAATTAGACAATGACAATTCTTCCAACAATGTTTAGAGTTGGAGTGTTCAATCTCTGATTTCTTGACAATTAGAAACATATAAATAAGCACACTTTTCTTGAGCTCTGCAAAGAAACCTTGACCAATTAAATCATGGTATCAAGAGATCTCTTACCTCCTCTGAGACCAGGTCTGATGGCAGATGCTTTGGGAAGAAGTTCTGTAGAGAGCAAATGATTCATATTTATCAATGTTATTTTAACAACCGTTGTCCTTCATGAAAAATGCATGTGGCTTTAGATCTAAACTTCAGCGTATGAATTCAACTAAACAATCATGCGTAACCAGAAAATGTCCTTCACAGTTCATAATTTTTTTTAATACTAACATTTCTAATTGTGATTGGGCCTAACAGACAAGAATACAGTGTGTTTATGGAGAGAGTAGTGGCAAATGATTTACCTGCATGAGCTCTCTGAGACTAGACAGAGTTGGGTCGATTAATTTGTCAGGGTCCGACTGAGCAGCTAGAAATGTGAAGTAGTGATGCAGATCCTTCCCTATGTTTTCCAGACATAAGTCCTGGATGGAGAAACAGTTCATAAGTTCACATTCTGTACACACACTTATTGTTCCCTTGTACAATTGAATGCGGTCCATTTGAACAGCCCTGTTTTCAAATATATCTTTACAAAGCTCACAATCATACATTTTTGTTGTTGCTGTCAGAAAGCTTTCAGTTAAATGTAGTTTATAATGTAATCATTGTTTTGAATGTGTTTTCTTATTATTTTTTTTCGTTTTAAATACAGATGACTATAAACACCTCTCAATATATATTATAGACATGATACAAATAGTATAAACAATTGTATCAAATCTCATTAGATTGGACAGCTGTTACTCATAAAGTGAAGTGAATAAAATAACTCAGCAATGTGTCAAAGGATGTTTCTTCTTGCTTTGGTTGTTAAATTATACATTTGTAAATCAGATGAAATGATAATAGGCTAATTAATAGGCTCTTTCAAAAATATGATGTTGTTTTGTCAAAAATTAAACAGTTAAAAAATAGGTGTTCTTATTATATTTGTCACAAAGACAGAGCAAAACCCACCTGATCAAATTCCGTCTTATTGATTCCTGAGCATTTTGATCCCTGCAGGAGAAACACAGTTTAGTTTGAAGTAAAACAGAGGCACAACAGAACTCCCAACAGTTACATGTAAACATACTAATAATTTACCTTTGGTGCGCATACTGATGGCGTGTCTGTCTCGTTGTTCAGCTTCACCATCTCCTGACTGCAGTTGATTCCACTGAACAGCTCATCCTAGCAAACAGAAATATCATGTTTAAATTAGAGACACTTTAAAGATCACAGTGTATTTTAGTTAGTGTTTCAAACATACCTTAGTGAGTGCATCAGTGATGTTGTGTAGAAGAATCTGAGCGGAGAAAACCAAGGAGTCTGTCACCATTCCTTTAACCATCAGAGGCACAGACTGGCTGACCTGAGGACAGGTGAGCACGAGCAGCAGCAGTGCAGGAGTGACGTCTGACCAACAAAAAGGACAGAATATATAGTTCCTTTGTAAAGCACGAGTTAAACAACTTGCAAAAAGAAAATGCTGTTCAGCCAGGTTACATTATACTCACAGAGCTGGAAGAGAGGCATCTTGGATATGATTCCGATTATGTGCTGTAACTGACTACACTCAGATATCCTTAAGTGTTTTATACCCACTGATGCAGGGATTTCCCTCAACATCTATATGCAATTTACACCTAGCTGTAAATGGAAAGTGTAAAGTTAAGGTTGTGTAATGTTCCCCTACATTACCAAATGGCTTTGTGAAACTGGAATTAACAGACACACTCTGGTGAGTAATCGAGGTTCACACTAGTGGCTGTTCATTTGTCATATGTTATTATAATCTCTAATCCTGCACATTCATCCAATGTCCAGTGTATCAATAATACCAAACAATCACAATTAATTGTAATGGTAGATGGATACAAAAATACTTGACATAAACTACTAGTTCAATCTGATATGAGAAAAAAAAGCCTGTTTATTAGATGGCAATGATTTGCAGAAATATTGAATTAATTACATCTGGAAAACAATTTTGTGTTTGTTTTTAATGAACTCAAACTAGTTAAAATGTCATGTTTTCAGATGTTGGCTTCTAGAAAATAGATATAATAAATTATTTATTGTAAAAATGTTACAGGTTTATCAGAAATACAAAAACAATACATACAACTCAAGTGTGTTGAAATGCTAAAAATAATTTGCATTATAAAAAGTGTTACTTTTTAATTTGACTACTACTACTACTACTACTACAATAATAATAATAATAATAATAATAATAATAGTAATAGTAATAATATCAGTTAATTTGGATGACCTCATAATGCATGTCATTTTATTTTTGTCTGTCCGAGTTGTTCCTCTTTTTTGCTTGTGGTAATCCTCCACAAAACTCGGTTACATAAGTGTGAATGTGTGAATGAGCAGAAAACTCCGCTGCAGCCGTCCGTAATACTCTGAGGCTGAATATGTCAAAGAGAGCGGACTCATTTTCCCAAGCATACCTCAATGAAACAATTGATGTTTTTGTAATGATTTACAGATCATCTCATAAACCCCTGAACATTTGACAAAACCATGAAATGCAAATGAACTCTCATGAAAACTAGCCAAATATAAAAAAGTTCACACACTGGAAACATTTATTACTGGAGTTTAGTTTTTTTACAATCATTTTTGAAGTACATTAATCGATGAAGCATATCATAGAAAAAGAAAATGTGACTTTGTGGTAAATAACATTCCTAAAAAGCTGAGAGTGAAAACACTTAAACACAGCCAGACAACAAGGCATGTTTTTCATCCTTTTTAATAAAGCATCTTTTAACATGTACATACAGTATGTCTATAAACCCTTTGAACAGATAAAATAGATATATGTTTTGGTTGTGATTAATTTGTTTTACATGTTTATAATTATCCTTTATTATCCCTTTTTTCAAACCATATATTGTCATTTTGTCTATTATACCGAGTACATAAAGGCATTAACTTATTTGTTTTTAATTATTATTCTTATTATCTCTGTGTGTGCTTTCACCTGCATTATCCCGTGATACCTTGTATTGCTGTTGCTGCTATGGCCCCTGAAATTCCCTACAGATATCAATATAGGTTTATCTTGTCTTTTTATTTGACTAGCATAAATGGTTTCAGGCTGGATTCGATCCTGGGTCCCCCAATACATGGACCGCCAGCTCTACCAAGTGAGCTATACAACAAACAAAAGACAAATTCAGCAAGGTGTGGCCCCTAAAAGTTGATACGTTTCCAGTCATGGGAGAAACAGGGATGTGCAGGCGATCTCTCCCACCCAGCATTAACATACACGAGTGTACTGTGCAAAATCATTAAGAGGTAAATCGGGGTTAGGGGATGCAATTACATTGAAAGGATTCAACTTATTCTATAAAATATGGCATGATTAATCGTGCTGAGTGGTGGTGAAAAGCCTGCACAATGCAACTGTGTCCATACTGAAACCAGCCATCACTCAGCCTCTTTTGAGATGCCCTGTCCTTCAACAACATCTTGTGCTGCAATACATTATGCGGTGTCTGTGTGTTAATATTACAGTACAGGTATAGTTCATTCTCCAGAAACAGCACAGATGGAGTTTTTATTAGTAACACTGGGGACAGTCTATGGAGCAGGAGGTAAGATGGCGTGCAGACGGACACGTGTAGACGAGGTATTCATTTAGAGATAGCTTTCTCTGCTTGGTGCCGCTGATGGCTGTGAGCGTGCCTGTCGCAACAAAGACAAGAAGTACATTAAAGTGAGCACAGGCGAACAGTACCTGTGCAACTACAGCTTATTTTTTCTACTCATCTCCTACAACATTTAGGCTAGACGACATTGAGATTTTGACTGAGAGAAAAAGGTGATTCACCTGGTGAGATCCTCTATGTCCACCAGCATGGCGTCCTGCTCCACATGCAGCTCATCCCTCATTAGCAATAACTGCACCAGCTCTTCATTTAGACCTGTGTAAGATTAAACATGAATCAACTCCAATTAAGGGTTAAAGGGTTGTTGAAGATTCCACTATGGTGGTCGAGGAAAGATTTTGGAAGGAAGGGGGAGAATCAAGTATTAAGTGTTTTGGCCTCTGTTTTATATTTCGAAGTTACTTAGCTGGATTCAAACCAACATCCTTTCTGAAATGGTATACTACTTTGACCACCTACTAGGGCACACAATAGCATGAATCTTCAATATAATCATCAGCATTGTTATTTATAAACCTTGTTTTCAGGTTATTTAATATAACCCATGATGATGAAGAAAGTCTGAGGCCCTTATGTGTATCAACAATTCCAAACCAGTGCTGTTTTTTATTATTCACCTTATTAAAATATGACATAGTAAAGGAAAATGCTTTTTAACATGCCAACAGTGGTACGCCACTTCAATGAGATGCTACTGATGTGTGTGTGTGTGTGTGTGTGTGTGTGTGTGTGTGTGTGTGTGTGTGTGTGTGTGTGTGTGTGTGTGTGTGTGTGTCTTTCTCTCTACTCACTCTGAATCTGTGAGTGTAAGTCATTCGTGATGACCTGCAGCTGTCCCAGACTCATGTCCCTCATGTCCCCTCTCCGCAGGTTCCTCTTCATCAAGCCCTCGTTGATGTGGGGCAGATGGGGAAGCTGTTTAGGTAAACACACAAAAAAGGGAAATGACTATGCCAAAATGTACAAAATGTAAATAAAGTAAAACAGTAATAATGGATAATAAATTATAAAGTATGTGTTTGCAAATGTCAATATAGCTGTCCCTTTGGTATACAGTTTTCGGGTTTTTCTCTTAGTCAGAGACAACTATTAAATTATTACCCCTGACTGCCATTCTATTTCTGCAATTCTAGTGACTTTTGTCATTTTTATTATGCTGTGTTTACTGTAACGAGGCTTAGTAAGTCACTTTATATATAGGTCAATCTTTGTCCCCTGTCACCAGTAACGATAATATATTATACACACACACACACACACACACACACACACACACACACACACACACACACACACACACACACACACACACACACACACACACACACACACACACACACACACACACACACACACACACACACACACACACACACACACACAATGACATCCCCTGGTCTGTATTTGTATTTATTTTCTCACTGACTAACCAGGTCAGCCACAGGTGAGCGTCTGTGCAGTTGGATTTGCCTCTCCACCTCCACCTGCATTCGGGCCATGGGTCGAGCCAGAGCCAGCGCCACCCGGGCCTCCTCCTGCAGCCTCCTCTGCACCCGCCAGAACCCACCGCAGTCATCCAGCGGGTCAGAGTCCTCCTCCGCCGTGTCCCGGTCCGATAACGATGAGCTCTGCTTGCTCTGTGGAAGAAATTATGTAAATAATGTCACAATGTTGGAGGTGATTGTTCTCACACGTTGTTGTTCCACAGAGTTGCACACAAGACACTTTCCAAGCTGTTCATACCAAAGGTGATAAGGGTGTGTCCAGACTGGTCTCTGTCCTGCTGTCCTCAGCATCGCTGTCTTTGTCACTGCTGCTGTCGTTTACGAAACACACCTGCAGGTTCACCCCACTCGGCAGTCTGAGTGGAAAACATAAAGAGTAAAGAACATGACAGGGGAAATGTTAGAGATGCTGAAATGGTTAATGTTTAATCATGGTGAAAAGGAAACTACTGACTTATTTTACAGATTGTGTTTTAGACATTATGAACATACATAATGTAAAAAAAGTAAAAACACATCATGTAGGAGTTATGTGTGTATAATGTAGGTTTCAACAAGATTACATTTCAGAGACATAATTTTCAAAACACCATGCAGTTATGAAGAGAGGGTTCTAAAGGCCTTGTTGTATTTTTACGTTTTAAGCTTGAAAATAATAACGTATGAAATGAAATTATCCATGTCATTTCAACAAAAAAGCTAAATTATAATCAACTTTTCCACTGTAGCTCGTGTGTCAGATTACATAAAGACTCAGCTCGATTCATTGGAAAAGCACTAATGGGTTTTCGTTTCTATTAATTAAATGACTTACTCTCCTTAAAGGTGGGGTAGGTAATTTTGGAGAAACCAGCTCGAGTGCGCTAGAATTTGAAAATACACAGCCGGAAAAAATCTGCCACTTCCTCACAGAGCCCCTCCTCCAACACACATGAACGTGCACATGACCAATGAGGGCACGAGATAAGTTTGTGCACAGATGGAAGGCTGACAGGCAGGTAGGCCATCCAGTTACTTTAGCCGGGCCGGCTCAGATGATTGGTCGTGCTTTTTACAGTACTACGGCTTCCACTGATGACAATTTTGTATGGATTTTTTGTCAAAGCACTTCAGATATTCATTGCTATCGGGATGTTAAGAGCATTCCATGGAATATAACAAAAAGTGTATCTCGAGCCGGTTTCTCAAACTTACCTACCCCACCTTTAACACGCAATTGTTTTGCTTTTTTAAAAGCCCCTTTTTTAAGATGCTAAAATCATGTCCTCATACTTTTGGTGTGACAGTGTGTCTCATTGTGTGGGCTGGGCCTCATAATTCCAATTAAGGGAAATCCTTAGCT